GGAGGCGCCATCATTTCCCACAACAAAATAAAATAAAGCTTACCTTTGTATGTGGTTCCTGTCTCTTATCAGGCAAAAGCTGGAAATCTGGGGAATCATCTCCATAACTTTCTTGGTTGGCTCAGAAATACTGCTTTTAAAATCTGATTGGGCCTCCTTTTGCTGCAATAGCTCCTGTTTGGCATATTCTTTGAGCCTTTTGTAAAGGCTGCGTAGGCCTTGTGCTGTTCGAGGAGGGCGGTCTACTCCAATTGCATTATAGTTAACTGCTATGACATCCCAACATCTATTCTTTTCTACTATTACTGAATTTTTATTAGTGTGCTCTTCGAGAATTTTCACATATGGCTTCACAAGGCTTAGCAGATCAAGCTTTTCAGATAGGGTGAAATTGGAAGATCTAGCCTTTCCTACCATTGTTCTTTTGAAATTAAGTAGGCAGTTTCTGAATCCACCATGCAGCCTTCAGCTCTGCTCAGCTCTTTTCACAAACAGAAAGATCAGGCTTAACTAGGCTAGCCCCATTTAGGCCCACGCCTACAGGGGAGGGCTTATTAAAATTCCTCCAGCTTAAGCTGACGCAGGTTGGGGAAAGCTGCTTAAGCCAAGCCTGACCTACATAAAGCTTCTCACAGAAGGCAAGAAAGCACAAGCAAAACACTTGTGTGTAAAGAGAGCAGCTCGAGATAGGATTTAATGCACAAAGGTCTAGAGATAAGCATGAAACACAGCTTAAAATTAGCTGATTTGGTGAGACTATCAAATGTCCACACATGTATGCCTGGCTGATGGGCTGAAACAGCGCTGCGGTATCACTTTAATAAAACAAAAGAGGAACTGTTTTGTGCTATTTGTTTACAAATCTAGTTTAGACGGGAACCTAGAAAACACGAGGGTGACTGTAGTGATTCCTAACAGAGCTCTAATCACTGTTTCTGAGCTGGGTGTTCTCCCTTACAAAATCTGCATACTGCTGGTCCTGCTGTCAATCAGGAATTGCATATCCTCTAGCTAGTTAGGTTACACCAGCGCAGACTGCAGTAAAGCTAAGCTTCCTCTTCATTTCAGTGTACATATCCTCTGCATAACTGTTATTCAAGGAGAAATTTTGATTGAATACTAGATCTAAAAATCAGATGAAAGTATGTTTTATTATTCTACCTGTAATGTATATAAATATATTAGTCTGTTTTATGTGTAAAAATTATGGTGAGAAACAGCATAATCATGTCTTGGTTAGGAGTGTGCAAACAAAATCATATTTCTATTAAAGCAAGATATTTTTGTTTATCTTAGTCACACAACTTGGACTATGGAAATAAACAATCTAGCCAGTAGTTTTTATGTCTAATCCTAGTTTGAAACATATGATAATCACAAAAACAAAAGCAAACTTATTTTCTCATGATATATTTGTCCAGATAGAGGAATTACTTGAAGCATACATGAAAGACTTGTGGTGTAGCTCAGTGGAACAGCAAATGATTAACATGTATGAGGCCTTACATTTAATCCCCAGTGTCGGGACCCATAGAAATGGCTCCGCTTCATCCTGACTTAAGGTCGGAGAGTTTCAAACCACTACTGCTCCTCCAAGGGGAAACAACAAAGATGTTTGGCCTAAGGTGTAGTCATGTCATGTCGTGTCTAAAAAAACAGAATACTTAATGTAGTTACTTGATGTTTCCGGTATTAAAGAGGTACTTACTCTTGTTCCTTGTATCATTGGAAAGGAAGCCTTTTGCCTTCTCCCCCTCTTTTGACAGGGGTATAAAGGATCTTTGAACAATAAACTCTGGCGAATTCTGGTATTTACCAGGTGTCCTGACTATCTCTTGTCTTTTGCCTATTTCTTTCCTCAATCCAAACTCCCCTTCTCAGGTACAGACCCAACAGATGATGCCCCAGAAATGTGTGTTCCTATACCCCAGCACTTCAAAACAAAAGAAATAAGTAAATGAAACCAAACTTGAACATATTTGATTCAATCAAAGGCTGGCAAGATAGATCATACGGTGAAGGCACCTGCTGCCAAGACTGATGACCTGAGTGAGTTTGATCCCTGGAACCCACCCACATGGTGGAAGAAAAAAATCAACTTGCAAAGTTGTACATACACATATACATACAATAAATAAATGTTTAGGAAGTAAAAATGATTGATTCTACAGAATAATTACCAACCTACACAAATGTTCTGAGCTCAGCACAAGACCCAGAAAGTATGAAAGTGAATACAGATACAACTGCTTTGTAGAAAGCTGTAGGGCACAGAAACACTACAAAGATGTCTCCTGGTGCACATGGCCTTATGACTGCTGGACATTGGCTGTACTCCTCATCTATAGTCCAGCCCCTAACGTTACTCATCTTGTTTCCATGTTTTTAACCAAGAAGCAAGTAAAACTTACTGAATTCTCACTGTTTTTTTTGTTGTTGTTGTTTTTTAAGCTGTTTGTTGTTGATTTGAGACAGAGTCTCCCTATGTGGTCTCCCTATGTAGCTCAAACTCCAAATGTAGCCTAGGTTGGCCTCCAACTCATGATTATCCTGAGTGCTAGACAAAAAATATGTACAAACAAGACCAATGAACCTGGCAACATACAACAAGCTTTAAATGTATTATCTTTTCAAAAAGTAGGAAAAATAAATGGAGTAAAAGCTGAGTATAGTGGCTTACACTCCCAAGAAGGAGAATAGCACAGGCTCAAGTCCAGGATCTATAAATAACAAGACCTAGTGTCAAGAGAAAAATGGGCTGATGAAATGGCTCAGACAATAAAGTACTTGTCATTCAAGCATGAAAACCAGAGTTCAGTTCCCCATCACCCACATGTACACAACTTTAATCCCAGCCAGAGGCAAGGGGATATCTATGAGCCTGGTCTACAGACCTAGTTCCAGGTCAGACACGACTACACAGAGAAACGCTGGAAAGAAAGAGAAAGGGAAAGGGAAAGGGGGAAGGGGAAGAAAAAGAAAGTGAAGAAAGGAGAGAGAGACAGAGAGAGAGAGAGAGAGAGAGAGAGAGAGAGGGAGAGAGAAGGAAAGCTGGATAGGCATGGCAACCTACCTGCAATCCCTAAATTTAGAAAGGAAAAACAGAGGATCCCCAGGGTAAACTAGCTAGCTAGACTAGCCCAATCTGAGAACTCCAGGTTTGTCAGAAACCTTGCCTCAGTAAATAAAGTAGAAAGTGACACAGGAAAACAGGACACCAACTCTAGCCTACACACACATGCACCCACCCACATAGGTGAGTGAGTGAGCACAAGCACACACACACACTCCATCATGTACATATGCATATAACATACACACGTAAAAAAAAAAAAAGAGGTAGATTTCTATATATTAACAGAACAATATTGGCATGGTACATTTAAAAAGAATGCAAGTTAGACAAAAATACATAAGCTATAATCCCTATTCTGCTAATATTTGGGATCCAAAGCAGCTATCCCTACAGTACAGTACAGTAAGCACTGTGAAATAAAAAGCAACCTCAGAACAAAATTCCTTAAAGCACAGGAGGCATTTCTCTGACATTCTCCATCTACTAGACAGGCTAAAAGGTAGCCCACTACTTTCTATACTTGCCCTGCTTTCTCACTGTTAGAAACATAAGTGAAACCATTTTGTGTAACTTGGAATAATGTAGTGTTTGTTGGACAGGAGCCAGTCACAGGCAGCTAAGAAGTGAGCCAATCGAAAAGCAGGCTTTTACATGCTAATGAATTAGGCTACAAGGTGGTATTGATAGGCTAATGAACCAGTCCTTAGCTGTGAACCCTGATATCACAAAACTAATAAAAACTGAAAATTTGGAGGTGACCCTATGAAGCACTACTGTGCTCCTGAGACATGACATCTCAGGCCTTTTCAATGGTACCCATCCACAAGGGGACTTTGACACTGTCACTGTAAAATTGACTTCGGAGGCTGAATCCGGAAGATTACAGCAAATCCAAGGCCAGTCTATGACTTATGTAAAAATGCTGACAGAAAAAAAGGTTGCGATCAGGCTACAGCCTGCTCTAAGTTATTATATATTGTGTAAAGTTGTTTTGTAGGCTGCACAGTCCCCCTGCAAGACTCCATTTTACAAGCAGCTTTTGACTCAATCTTGAAAGTGTAAAAAACTAAACTGATAGCCCTGTGCTCAAGCTCCACAAGAAATAAACCAATAAAAAAAAAATGATTCATATGAAAGACAAGAGAAGATAGTATAAAACAAAATAGAGAATGTGTCGGGTTTGGTGGCACACACTACAGCCCTAGCAGACAGAGCTGAATCAAAACTTTAGGACCTGCCCAGGCTACATACCGAGACAAATGTTTAAAAAGAAAAATTGAAGCTGGAAGTAGTGGTACACACCTGTAATCAAGACCTTTGGGAGGCTGAGAAAGGGAGAGCACAAGTTTCAGACCTCATGCAAAGAAATTAATTTAAAAGCAAAGGTTAAATAGTATTACTATAGGAGGCACGTAAATCTTTGTGCTCACAGATAAGCACTAGGGAACAAAAATGTTAAACACACAGGGTTGTCTCTTCAAAGCAAGAGATGTTTTCCACCCAGAAGACTGGGACCAAAGGTGGTTAATAGCCTGATGGGTGACCTTTGCCCTGAGACCATACCAGAGACTTCCCCAATCCCTTATCTTGAGCTTGTTTGTCTCAGTCAATCTATAACTCTGTCTTCCCCCAGACCCTTATCTTCAGTCTGCTTTCCAGTTAACCTTCAGAACCTATCTTTAGGAAGATGTCTCTTGTACTTTACAAATAGTTTCCATTCAGTCACGACTTAAGCTTTGTTGTGATTGAGTTAATTATTTCCAGGAGACTTTTTTCCAAATTGTGCTGTGCTTATATATGTCTAAAATAAACTGGAAGTTTAAATCAACACTGGATAAGACATGTTGAACCCAACTGCCTTTTTATCTTCCACAGATTGACATTCTGTGGCCTTGGTGGTCAGAGAGACCCCTGAAAATTATGATTTCATTTTTCCCACATTGGCCCTTGCAAAAGCATATTCAAGTAAGTGGATAAGTATAAACCACATGCTAGGAAAAAAAGTTTTCCTGAAAGACCACTTGGAAAACATGTCTTACAAAGTTTTATTAGCTTTCTAAGGAGGGACAGCAAGGATTAGGAAACTATGAGAAACATAGCAAAACTGTGACTATACCAACAGGAGATGGGAGGAGAGGAACTTGAAGATATTCTATACAAGGCCATATTGGTTTTACCACTATTGAGGCAGCATATATTATTGAGAGTTAAAAAATAAATAAATAACCCAGACTAGTGAAGTAACTTAGTAGAGAAAAAGTACCCTAGGGCTTGAATCACAGCTCTACTACTTAAAATAATAATAATAATAATAATCAAACTTTTAAAAGGGTAAAACACCTAAACAAACCTTTCTAAAAAAAAAAAAAAGAAGAATTTAAAATGTCAGAGGTTCATGAACGTATGCTCAACATCATTAATCATCAGAGAAATGCAATAAAAAAAAACACTGAGGTCAAGCATGATGGTGAAGCTTGTAATTCTAGCATTTGAGAGGCAGACAAGAGGATCAGTTACGTAGTGAGTTTGAGGCCAGTGTGGTCT